TGGAAGCCCCAAGGGGGTGGATTCATGATCATGGAGGTTCAAGACCAGCCTGGCCAACCATTGGGTGGAACCCCATTCTAACTAAAAACTTACAAAACATTAGCTGAGTATGGGAGTGGCACATTGCCTGTAATGCAGTACTTGGGAGGGCTGAGGCAGGAGATTGGCTTGATCGGACAGGGACGGTGGAAAGTTGCAGTGAGCTGAAGGTCATGCCACTGCCATTCCCAGCCTGGTACAATAGCAGAAGACTCACGTCTCGGAAAATAAAAAAAAAAAAGGGGGCACCGCTCGCGGGTGACTCATACCTGTAAGATCACTAGCACTTCGTTCAAGGGGCTGAGTGTGGATCACTGAGGTCAGGAGTTTCGAGACCAGCTGGCCAATCATGGTGAAACCCCTGTCTCTACTCAAAATAACAAAAGTTAAGCCATGGGGCGTGGTGGCACGTACTTGTAAATCCAGGCTACTCACTGAGGCAGGAGATATGGCTTGAAACCCAGGAGGCGGAGGTTGCAGTGAGCTGAGAATCATGCCACTGGCACTTCAGCTGGGCGAGGTGGGAGACTCCTGTCCTCTAATAAAACAATAAATAATAAAGAGAAAAGGCTGGGCGTTTTGCGCTTACTCATGTAATCTCAAGCATTTGGGAGGCAAGGCGGAGCGCGATCACTGTGAGCAGAGTTGGAGACCAGCTGCCCAACATGGTCAAAGCCATCTCTATTAAAAATACCAAAAATTAGCCGGGCCCTGGTGGCGCATCCCTGTAATCCCCAGTTTTGTGCCACTGGACTCTAGCCTGAGTGACATGGCGAGACTCTGCCTGAAAAAAAAAAAAGAGAGAGAGAAATGGGAGGAGGCTGGGCGTGGTGGCTCACGTCTGTAATCCCAGCACTTAGAGAAGCTGAGGTGGGAAGACGGCTTGAGTCTTGCCGGAGTCTTGAGTCTTGAGGAGTTTGAGACCAGCCTGGGCAACAAAGTGAGATATCATTTCTAAAAATATATAAATAGGCCAGACTCGGTGGTTCATGCCTGTAATCCCAGCCCTTTTGGAGGCCAAGGTGGGCAGATCACTTGAGGTCATGAGTTCGAGACCAGCCTGGCTGACATGGTGAAACCCTGTCTCTACTAAAAATACAAAAATTAGCTGGGCGTGGTGGCACAGGTGCCTGTAATCTCAGCTACTTGGGACGCTGAGGCACAAGGATTGCTTGAACCCGGGAGGTGGAGGCTGCAGTGAGCCAACATTGCACCACTGTACTGCAGCCTGGGCAACAGAGCAAGACTCCGTCTCAAAAAAATAAATAAATAAATATAAATAAATAAATACAATAAAAAAGAGGAATAGGAGAGGGGGAAAAGAGACCCATGCAGTGACTCCCACGGTGGAACCTTGAGTTGCAGTGATGGGTGAGAGGCACGCATCCCTGAATGCTAATGATGGCCTGGCTTTCCACCTCTGCTTCTTCTGGCTCCGCCCCCTTCCCGATGAATCTCTTGTGTGATAATCAGCATCTTGGACAAGCAGAGGCAGACAGCAAACACTGGAGCCCGGGACTCAGAGCTCCTGGTTTCTCAGCCAAGGACTCCCTGAGCTTTTGAGGAACCTGCCTTCACCTGCCCCGGGAATGTCCTGGGCAGTGAGAGAGACAGGCCTGTAAGAGGAATAATTCTGTTCACCAAATGGTCCCTCCAGACTAGATTCCATGTAAGACTCGGAAAATGCATATTTTCATCTGTGGGGTCACACTGAGCAGGTGCCCCTGAGAACTCCCATCCTCAGGGCACTCCTTTCTCTGGGCCCCTTTCTCTGGTATTCCCCAACCCCCCTAATCCAAATAGGCCCTTGTTTTTTTTTTTTTTTTTTTTTGAGACAGAGTCTCACTCTGTCACCCAGGCTGGAGTGCAGTGGCGGAATCTCGGCTCACTGCAAGCTCCACCTCCCGGGTTCATGCCATTCTCCTGCCTCAGCCTCCTGACTAGCTGGGACTATAGGCGCCTGCCACCAAGCCTGGCTAATTTTTTTTTTTTTTTTTTTGTATTTTTAGTAGAGACGGAGTTTTACCGTGTTAGCCAGGATGGTCTCAATCTCCTGACCTCGTGATCCACCCGCCTCAGCC